CTTAGCGATTCTTTTTGCATGTTATTAGGAAATTATTAAGCAATAAAAATCAGTCAAGTTTTTTGAAAAATATTGTAATTAAGCCCATTTATGATCAATAATGTGGAGTCGTGTTTTGAGGGATGAACTTTGCGCTGTGCAGTCTCCAGGTCCAGGATCTCGTCTTAAACAAAAAACAGCAATTGGACATTAAACTTAAAGGTACAGCGCACAAGATGAAATATTTCCTATTTGAAAGAAAAAAATTTTACATAAAAAAATTTGAGGTTAAAAAAAAATGTTTAAAAAAAAAACACTTCTTTTCGACTTTGTTCGTAAAAAAAACATGTTATAACAAACAAATATGAAATACCGTTATATTCATGTTGTGGAGAATTTCATTTCAAACATAATGCAAAAAACCGCATTCGATTTAAATAAAATCTCTGACCTTTACATTGCACGGCGACTTTGAAAACACGACTTTTCAGTAGAAGCGTTTAAAGTTTACGTTGTGCCATTTCAGCCATTGACACGCACTCAATAAATTGCTTATTACTTTGATAATACATGGGTGGCCATAAGTATTTTGACAAAATAAAAGTGAAATATACTCGAAATTTGAACTTGCTTCTTTTAACTTTTGGTATCAATGGAAAGGTAATTCAAATGCCGTTTGAATGATACCATACTTTTCTCAACTCATTCGATATTTATTGAAAAGGGCAATTTAAAAAAAAAAATAATTTATTTCAATTTCCGAGACTTAAAGAAAGGGAAACAGGAAGATATGTTAGTATTTTAATTGTCATTAAAATATTAAAAGTGTTAAAAATTAATATAAATTATAAATTTAGTTTTTTAAATTTATTTCTTCAATATTTACACTATTCGACACGTTTCCTATGAGTATTGTTTTTTAAAAACAAGAAAATAAGCTAGCTTCCGCTTGCCGAATACCCTTGCAGTCATCAAATATGTCAAACAAAATGCATAAAGGCTGAACAACAACGAAGCTAGGACCATTTTGCTATTCATTATACCCTTGCAGAGCAAAGGGTACTATAATTTTGGCCAGGAGTTTGCAACGCAGTGAAGGAGACACCTCAGACCCCATAAAGTATATAAATTCTTGATCAGCATCACGATCTGAATCGAAATATGTCTGTGAGTCTGTCCGTCTGTCCTCCTGTCCGTTTCTGCCTAAACTAGTCTCTCAGTTTTAAAGCTATCTTGCTGAAACTTTCCCAAAAGGTGTGTAGTTCTTGCACGCAGTATATAAGTCGAAACGGGCCGGATCGGCCGACTATTTCGGATAGCTCCCATACGAGAGAATGAAATAAAAAATGCTCACGCCGTTGTTTTTAAAAAGACAAGGATAAGTTTTGGAATTCATCATTTTCTAACTACTCTTGAATTACTTATTAAATTTCATCAAAATCGGACAACTATATCATATAGCTGCCATACGAACAATAGTCGAAAATATGGAAAATTAAAAGATAAATCGTCATAGTTTCGATGTTGTTTAGCCCTTATGCATTTTGTTGGACATATTTGATGACTGCAAGGGTATATAAGCTTCGGCTTTCCGAAGCTAGCTTCTTTTCTTGTTTTCCATATTTTTATACCCTTGCTGAGCAAAAGGGTATTATAATTTCAGTCAGAAGTTTGAAACGCAGTGAAGGAGACACCTCAGACCCCATAAAGTATATATATTCTTGATCAGCATCACGATCAGAATCCAAATCCGTCTGTACGACTGTCTGTCTGTCCTCCTGTCGGTTTCTATGTAAACTAGTCTCTCAGTTTTAAAGCTATCTCGCTGAAACTTTCACAAAAGGTGTGCAGTTATTGCACGCAGTATATAAGTCGGAACGAGCCGGATCGGCCGACTATATCGGATAGCTCCCATACAAGAGAATGAAATAAAAAATTCTTACTCCGTTGTTTTTGATCAGATCGACTTGATTCCTTCCAGATGGCGTTTTCTAACTGCTATTGAATTTCGTATTAAATTTTATCAAAATCGGATAACTCTATCATATAGCTGCCATAGGAGAGATCGAAAAATATACATATAAATAATGAAAAAAAAATTATAATGTCGTGGTTTTTAATGCCATGAGCATGATTTTTGGAACATCAAGTTTTTTAATTCCTCTTAAATCGAGAAAAAAATTTCATAAAAATCGTAGTACTCCGATTCATATAGCTGCCATAGGAGAGATCGAAAAATCTAGATATAAAAACGGAAATAAAATGATAACATCGTTGTTTTTCATCAGACAATCATGATTTTTGAAATAAAGAATTTTCTAATGAGTCTTGAGTTACAATTTAAATTTCATCAAAATCGGACGACTATATCATATAGCTGTCATATGAACAATTTGGAAAATTAATAGAAAAATCGTCATAGCTTCGATGCCGTTTAGCTTTTATGTATTTTGTTTGACATATATATATAGTTGTCCGATTTTGATCAAATTTAATTCGTAATTCAAGAGTCGTGGAAAAACTTTATATTCCAAAAATCATGCTTATCCGTTGAAAAACAACGACGTTATAATTTTTTTTCCACTATTTATATATATATTTTTCGATCTTTTGTATGGCAGCTATATGAAAGAGTTATCCGTTATTGATAAAATTTTATCCGAAATTCAATAGTAGTTAGAAAACTCCATCTTGAAGAAATCAAGCCGATCTGATCAAAAACAACAGCATGAGAATTTTTTGTTTCACTCTCTCGTATGGGAGCTATCAGATATAGTCGACCGGTCCTGCCCGTTCCGACTTATGTATATACTGCTTGAGATAACTACACACCTTTTGGGAAAGTTTTAGCAAGATAGCTTTAAAACTGAGAGACTAGTTTACATAGGAACAGACAGACGCACAGACGTACATTCGTATTTCGATTCTGATCGTGATGCTGATCAAGAATTTGTATGTATACTTTATTGGGTCTAAGGTGTCTCCTTCACTGCGTTGCAAACTTCTGACAGAAATTATAATACCCTTTGCTCTGCAAGAGTATAATAATATAGTAAAAACATCTGAGAAGACAATAAATTCTTTCCGGTAAAGTTTTTCGCTTGAAAAACATGGCAATGTTCTAAAAACGGGTTGTCTCGCAGCTATTTTAACAAATAACAAGGTAGCATTTTTAAAAAAGAATAAATTTCCTAGCCCATTTTTAGCAAAAGCTCCTAAAGCGCAACTTTAACAGTTATAAGTTAAAATCTGGAACTTTTATAGTTATCATTAATTTACAATGATTTTGTATAAATTTATATTGAGGTCAGGTATTTTTACTATTAACAAAAAATCACGAGGAATTTAATTTAATATTCAACATCTGAGATTTTACTATATTATTTTTAAACAAGAAAAGAAGCTAATGTATATACCCTTGCAGTCATCAAATACATACATATGTATTTACATATGTCGAACAAAATACAACATCGAAGCTATGACGATTTTCCTATTAATTTTCCATATTTTCGACTATTGTTTATATGGCAGCTATATGACATGGTTATACGATTTCGATAAAATTAAATTCGTAATTCAAGAGTGGTTAGAAAACTCTATATTCTAATACATCAATTAAACTGTTAATATCTGTATGCAACCTGTTCAATTAGAATTTCTTTTGACACTCACAGCTCTCACCCTTTTTTTCTACTGCTGTAAATTAATTCGTTTTGGCACAGAAAGGATTTCGGCTTAAAAATCGTCTTCTTGCTCAAGTAAGCATACATACATACATACATACGCACTTACTTGTTCTCACTCACGCAACCGTATTCTATTTTTAAATTTTTACGCTCTCAACTTTGTGCGAGCGCGCTGAGAGCGAGAGAGGATAGAAGAAGATAGAGAGATCGTTCGTCAGTGGTTAGAGAGGGATGGGGATGTGTCGCGTAACCGAGAAATGTGACGCGTAACCGAGAAATGTGACGCGTAACCAAAAAAAATGTGACGCTAAATTTTTTCCAACGCCGATAAAGAAGTTTCACTTCAAAAAGTCAAAAAAAACTTTTTCCCTCGGCTTCAAAACTAAAATTTTTGGATGCAAAAAGTTTCTTTAAACAAAAATAATAGGAACTGCATAAAGAATTTTTCAAAAATAATTTGGTAAAATTGCGCTTTAGCGGCTTTTGCTAAAAATGGTCTAGGAATTTTTTTTTTTTTTTAATAGATACCTTGGGGCCTAAACATTAATAAAAAAGTGGCGGAAAGCTTGATTTCTAAGTATTTATTTGTAAAAATAGCAAAAAAGCAACTGGCCATAGCTTTTCTGGGTATTCACTCAGTACTATAAAATCACTCTGAGTCATTTCGCAACCTTTACAGCGTTCAGTAGTAAAATTGGCAGTGCCAGACATGGTAAAATTGTTTAATTTCTTTTGTTTTTAAATTTGCACACAATTGCAGCACTCTTCATCCACAACACATTCTCAACGGTAAAGTTTTTCGCTAGAAAAACATGGCAATGTTCTAAAACGGGTTGCCTCGCGGCAGTAATAATTGCAATTTTAACACATAAATAATTAAAATTTAAGCTTTCCGCCACTTTTTTATTAATGTTTAGGCCCCAAGGTATCCATTAAAAAAAAAAAAAAATTCCTAGACCATTTTTAGCAAAAGCCGCTAAAGCGCAATTTTACCAATAATTTTTCTTCTATTTTTTATGATAAATATAAAAATTACATATGTATGTACACATTACTCCAATCAACACCGCTACCGACATAGCAATTAAACGTTTGCTGAAGTTTTTAGCATGATAGCTTAAGTTTCAGCATGATAGTTCAAATAAACTGCGAAAAATAAGTCAGGCTGGGTCAGACTGACATTGTATTGTATTTAGAAAAATAATTAGTTTCTCAGGTTAAGCAATTAAAACGCAAAGAAATAAAAAAAAACATATGTACATATGTATGTATGTAAATATAAAGATAATTCCACTATAAATAATTATATTATATTATGAATTTATTTTTCACCTTATGTGAACCGTTTCTTCAGCTTAAGCGCAGTATTAAAATTTAATTTAACACTTGGCATTCTTTTATCTAAGAGTGTATGATTTTGTTACTCTACTGATTGTTACATTTATTTGTTTGTTTTATATTGTTGTGTTTAGGGGCTTTATGTCATTATGGCTTTATGAAACTAATAAACCAAGTTATTTTAACAATGATATCTAACAATGCAATTAAACTGAAGACTATCTGCAATTAAAAGGAATCCTTTCTTAAAATTTATTACAAATATTTTCATGAGTAGAATCATACGTACATGTACATAGGTTTAGTTGAATGTTGAGTGTGTCAGCTGAAATCCATTTCTCGTGGCACTTTCGCATGTCAAAATAGCGACAAAAGGCTAGCGTTAAAAATGGGTTCATTATGACTGATATCCTTTTCACCTGGTAATCCATCCAATTTTGGATGATACAATAGCTTTTCTTTCATAATAGCTAAAGCACACTAAGACGAGTTTCATATCAATTACTGAGATGGACCCTACTATTTTGCCACTGCGGAACTAAAACATATGGTTATAATCAGGGCTAACAGAGTTATGTTTTTAAATGAAAAAATATTTATTTCCATTTTATCGCCTTTTTTTTCCTATAAATCCATATTTTTACAATCACTTGAATAAATCCATATTTTGAGCATTAAAGTGTCTGAAAACCTATAGAAAGATATGTTTGGCTCAAATATTATGAAATTTCTGTCGTTTGCCTTATACTCGATAATAAATAATGTAAACAAAACATCGTTGCGTCGTTAATCAATCAAAATATGTATCATCGAATGTAACAATTATGATGCAGTTTATATTTTAAGATTCAGTTTTTATTCCATATTTCATGTTTTCAGTTCTTATTCTTCAGGACATATCGCAAATGTTAGCAGGAAATCTCATTGATAGTTCTACAGAAGGTGACGATCTTATCCTGAATTTATCAGCTGCAGAACTGAATGCATATGCAAATGCTCCTGTTACATCTTGCGATGTTGAGCGTTCATTTTCATCATATAAACACATATTGAGTGACAAACGCCGTAGTTTTGTTTTTACTAATCTGACACAACATGTCATATTGTTCTGCAATGATCTTTGAGACAAACGGCGCACTTTTGTTTGTAGCGATTTCTAATTGTTCATTGTCATAAAAAGTTAATATGATCGATATAATCGTCTACGTTTATCCATTTTTTTTACTTATATTTATCCCTTTTTTCGTCTATACTACCTATATTTATCCATATTTATCCATTTTATTCCATATTTGTCAACTTTTTCGTCCAAATTTCGTCCATATTTCTCTATTTTTTCGTCCATAAATCCATACATATTTTTACGTTTTTAAGAACATAACTCTGTTAGCCCTGGTTATAATAAAGAAAATGACAGACGAGTAAGGGGCTTAAAAACACTCCAGTTCATCCTTGTTGTTTCATTCCTTGTAGATCCCCATCTCCCTATTTTTTGTGTTATTAAATTTTACAACAGTTTTACAGATAGAGACAATAGAAGGTGCACGCTCTAGGTTAGTTCGAGCCAGCGCTTACAACTTTAAACGCTGCTCACTCAAGACTTATCTAAAAATATTGAAAACAGTTTATTTGAGAAAATAATTAGTGAGAAAAAAAGCGCGAAAATCGTAATTTTTTTTTTTGAAAAAGCTAATAACTTTTGCAATTTTCATTTTTTTTCTGATCCTAGTTCATTTTATGCACAGTACTCTACACTTTAAGAATCTTTTCGGTTTTTGTGTTTCACTTCCGCTAACGGGAAACCTTTTCGCCGACATGTCGCCTTCTCCCGCCCTTTTTTTGATTTTTTCAATTTCGAAATTTTTTTCCTCAAATTAAATATGTTTTCAAATACAGTTAAAAATTTCAGCTTTTTATCTTTAAATTGCCCCACCATTGATGCTTGGCGTTAAAGTCGCCTCCAGCCAAGAATTTCGGGCCCAGAGACGTTAGTAACTGGTCAAATCGTTCTTTGTCCAGGAAGATACAATGACGCTATTTTAAGGACTCCTCCATTTGTTGGAATATCGAGACTAGTTAGCTGTAACTCAGCTCGCGTTGTGGACTCGGTCTGAGTGTGGATAATGTTTGTCTTGATAAAGATAGCAGAACCATCTTTGGTGGTGTTGCTAGGGTGATTGGCAAAGTACTAGTTATAACACATTTTTAGACCGGGACGCATATGAGTGTCAGTAATGAGCATTATGTCTATTGAGTTGTCAATAAGGAAAATACGAAGTTCTTCGCTTTTGTTAACTATTCCTCTTGCATTCCATAATCCGTTTTTAATAGCTGATTCTGTCATTTCCTAGAAATAAGAACCTGAACTAAATCGAGAAAAGCCTTGTTCGACTAAATCGTTTCCATGACTTCAAAAGTTGATCCAGCCTAGCGTTTATATCAAAGATTGGCTTCTCCAAGGAAGACAAATCTCTGTTTGGGATGCGGTTATTTCCAGGTACATGTTCAATAGACTGCCTAGCTGCAGCGCTGCTATTGCTTGGGAGGCTATTTATTGCCATATCTGCATGAGATACGCCATCTCTGGTCGCTGACGTGGAGAACAGTATACCGTGTCAGCTTTCGTTCGTCCAATTATTTATTGTGTTTCTTAGACTTACTCCTTTTAATTTTTTGCTTAGTTCCATTCAAACTTTGCAGCCCATTAAACATGCAGGCTGATTTTCTCCACAGTTTGCACACAAGCATTTGTTGTTGATATGTGACTCACACTTTTGGGAGTTGGTAGGATGATCTCCAGCCCGATTTCCACAAACAGGTTTGTTTTATATTTTTTTGAGGGTGTCTAAAATTGTGGCATTTATAAAACTGGACGATATCCTTATTGCGAGTAGCCTTTTCCACGGTAACTCTGTGCCTTCCAATTTGCTTAATTTTTAACGACTCGGCGACATTCAGCGTCATTTACATAAAACAAATTTTGCCTATCATCATTATATACTTCGGACATAGTCCCGCGCATGCCATTAAAGATTTTTTGGGCAGTAAATATTTGCAGGACTCAGCGGACTGGCTGAGGGCCGTTGTGCCCTTGCTCAGGACGTGGAAGGGCGTGCCCCTAGAAACCAAGGTGGGAGAAGATATCCCCGCGGCATATAACGTCACGGTCTTCTGCCCCAGAAGCGCGGAAAGAGAGAATGAGGAACTCCTCATGTTGCTCGGGCGCCAGAACAGGCTGGAGACGGACGCCTGGAGAGTGGTCTCCCGGAGGAACGATGGAGGCGGAGCACTCCTTGTCATCGGGATCGACCAGCTCACCCGAGACGAGATCGTAGCTAGAGGGCATCAGCTCAACTTTAGGTTCGGTACCGTCTCGGTGAGTGGGCTGAGAAAGGCAGCAAAGGTGGCCGCAACGGAAGGAGCGCCCTCTGGTCCCCCAGATGGCAAAGTGGAGGTCGATGAATCCCTCGACGAGCCACAGGAGCCTATGGGCACAGAGGAGGACCCTAGCGCCGTTACAGTTGAGAGGAATGAGGATAAGGAGCATCCTACGCCCTCCGACAGTAACGACGATATGGAGGCCGACGTCACTCTGACGGATGGTAGTGAAGGGGAACACCCGCCCCCTTCACCAAAGATGGAGCATCCGCTCCAATGATGGCTGCACACAGCAGCACGAGGCTAGCCCAGGTGAACCTACACCGAGCCAAGGCGGCATCAGCCGTCCTGGCCAGGTTGTTCACCAACCAACATCTCGGGCTAGCTCTCATTCAGGAGCCTTGGTGCAATCAGGGCATTAAAGGCCTGTACACCAAGGAATCAAAGGTAATATGTGACCAACGGGGTGCACACCCCAGAGCATGCATATTAATAAGAAAAGATATCAACTATAATATCTTTTCAGAGTTCCTAAGCAGGGACTGTGTCGCAGTAACTGTGAGCGGCGCAGGAAGACTACCAGCGATCGCCATAGCATCGGCGTATTTTGCTGGGGATGCAGCATGCCCACCACCGGAAATCATCGGGCTCGTGGAATGCTGCAGGAGGAAGAAGATGCCCCTAATCATCGGGTGTGACGCCAATGCACATCACGTGATATGGGGAAGCACCGACGTCAACAACAGAGGTGAGCAGCTAATAGAATTTATAGTAAATAGTAACCTAGAAATCGGTAATGTCGGGTCCACACCGACATTCATTACTAGAGTAAGAGAAGAGGTCCTAGACTTAACCCTGATGAGCAGGTCTCTAGGACCACTTATTAAGAACTGGCATGTGTCGCCAGAGGAATCAATGTCGGATCACCGAATCATTAGATTTGAATTAGACTTCAACACCGCTAGGGACGCCCCCAAAAGGAATCCCAAGAAGACAAACTGGGATCGGTTCAAGTCCTCTCTTGAGCTCGATCTCTCTAACGAACCGTCAGGTATACCCAGACATTCCTTAGAATTAGATCAGGCAGTGGATAACCTCTGCAAGAAGATAACCAATGCTTTTGAGGACAGTTGCCCTCTTGGCAGACGGAAAGCAGATAGAGACGCCCCATGGTGGAACGACAACCTGGAACGGCTCAGAATCTCCACCCGCCGGCTCTTCAACAGAGCAAAAACGAGCGAGGATAACTGGAGAAAATATAGACACAGCCTGACGCTCTACAACAAAGAGATCAGGAAGGCCAAACGGAAGAACTACAGAGACTTCTGTGAGGCAATCAGCACAGCCCATGAAGGGGCAAGATTGCACAAGGCTATGGCCAAAGTTGCACCAGAAAGTAACCTAGCCCTGAGGAAATGTGACAACGCTTACACTTCCGACGACAGGGATAAACTAGCTTTACTCTTTAAAACACACTTCCCCGGGAGCTCACCCCTGGCGGAAGACACGTTCAACCCAATGGAGGCATCGTCCACTCCAAGACACTTCAGACCAAGCGCTGAGGACTGGGCAATTGCCAAGTCTCTAGTCTCTCCGGAGAGACTTAAATGGGCAATTGGGACCTTCCAGCCATTTAAGTCACCTGGTCTGGATGGTATCTCTCCATCATTCCTGCAGCAGGGACTGGATTTACTCCTAACCCGCTTAAGGAGACTGATGCTAAGCAGCCTAGCAATTGGACACATCCCAAATGCGTGGCGTAGAGCTAGGGTGGTCTTCATCCCCAAAGCAGGGAAGAAAGACATCACCAACCCAAAGTCCTTCAGACCTATCAGCTTAACCTCGTTTTGCCTTAAAACGTTGGAAAAGCTGGTAGACTACCATATTAGGAGCACAGTTCTTAAGGACTGTCCGCTGCAACCCACGCAGCACGCATACAGGGCAGGTCGTTCAACAGACACTGCACTGTACCAACTTTGTCACACCCTTGAAGGAGCAGTAGACAACAAAGAAGTTGCAATCTGCGCCTTTTTGG